GGCACAAAATGTAAATGTTTTCTGCCAATGAAATGATTAGCCTGTTGCAGTTGTATTCTATCAGTTGTCACTAATTACAACTATCATTTACCAGCTATCAGCTATCACTAAAACAGTTACCAGATTTACTTGGAGGCCGTCGTCACTTGTGGTGTGTGGTCTGCACTCGACGGGTATCTGATTCTCGGCAGCAGAGGGTACATAATTATGACCCAGCTTGATTCTTGATTTACAATTTCACTCTAAGAGTTTAGTCCATTGAATGATTTTAGCCGTTATTTGTCCATTTCCAAGAATTACCCTCCTTCAGTTTTTCCTTCAACACCATTCTCAGACTACCGTACATCAAAATGCAACTTAATACTGTAATCGAACCGTGTTTTCAGCGCCGAACACATGCCGTAATATTCCATCGTTCACTCGTGTTCCACAGATGATCCTCGTCGGTTTTGCTGCTTTTGTGATGGAAAACGTGCCATCGGTGACGATGTGCCTCGACCAGTGCACCAAGTATGTTCCGTTCAACCTATAAACAAAGGTCTTCCATTACCATGCTCTGCTTTTGAAAATTGGTCTCGAAAGAGACAGAAACTATTCCATTTACCACCTGCTCCCATTTCTCAGGTTCAGGAACCGTTCCCATGGTTTTCTTTCGTCCCGACACCACTAACCACTTCTACCTTAATTCTAACGAGCTGCCAAGCCCTCCGCCGTCAAGGCTGACGCAATGACTGAAGCGCACGCAGCGCAGTGAAGCGAACAATGGGTACCCTTTGTGAACCCATTTTTCCAGTTCTCAAGGCATTCTGACGCGTTCAAACTGCTGTGGGCCGGGTAAGTTGGATCGGGAGCCCGACCCCAGTTACCGAGCTCAAAAGATTTACCTGAGAGGGCTTAATACTGGTTCTCCTATCTTTTCCTGAAATGCGCCACACACACAGACGCCAGTGGGAATCATTACTGAATTTCCACTGGATCGAATGCAAGCAAACCACCCCACGGGACTGGAGGCCGTGGTTGCCTTGGGTGAAATTTGTTTTTGATCTTTGTCAAAAATAAATTATCTTTTCGAGTAGGACCCTAACTATGAGTTGCACAGTGGGCCGACTATTCGCCCAACCTGAAACCTCTAACCTTGTCCGGCCTATGTCTCTTTAATCTCGAAAAATTCAGCCCCCCACCTGAGACTGGAGACAATTTCGAATGCAAGTCAGTGATGTACTACTACAATGACAGAGAGAGTGATTTATCCTGAGACATCGCCACTTCGAAGGCTCGACCTCTTCATCATCCAGAAGGGACAGTTGCCAAGTGAGTCCTCCTCCACATTTCTTTTTGCTGTTATTCGCTCCTAGAGTAGTGTATTCATTCTTAGCATCCAAAAGTTACAACTACAATTTTGTCTGCTGCAGAGAATCAAGCTAATACCTTGGTTCATTTGACATACTATCGCATAGCTCACCGTCACCTGAAGCCTGAAAAGTGCCCTGCAGGAACTCATCTCAAGGTATTCACTACATGCTGCAGCGCGACTTATTTGCTGGGGGGCGTGGTCAGCATGCGGCGTACGGTTGCGTCGCGGTCAACGCGAACATCCAGCACTCAGTCATTCAAATTATGCTTAGGGATCGAGATAGTATTAATACATTGGCAAGTAAATTATTAATAACCTCAAGCGGCGCTTGTGAACGCACCGCAACGCGCACGCGCTGCTTGCCTGCTTTGGCGAGTCAGAGCTTATTGATCTAACTAAGAACAACACAGCATTTCATTATTTAGGCCGTACGTAACCGTCAACGCTCGCTCCTGCCAGAAGGCGAAGGAGATCTGCATGTTCTGAAGGCTGCCGCTAAGGGTGTCAAGGAGTGCATGAAGAAGTTTGTGAATTTTTTCAACGCTAAATGTTTGGGATTTATGGAACAGTATACGCTCAGTATTTGCATCAAGATGCACCACAAGGCTTGTGCGTTATCGAGATTTCGAGAACATTACGCCACGCCCGAACTCGCCTACCAAAGTCCGCAATTACATCACGCTATTGCCGTCAAAGAACCAGTCAGCTTAAGTAAATCACACTTCTTGTAAACATAGTTGTTTTAGCAAACTGCTCTTATTTGGCTAGTGCCTCTTGAGATAGGAGAAAAATGGTAGTTCAAAGTACCTATCAAACGCATCAGTAAATAATCTTTCAAGTACCCTCACCTTCAAATAACCAGAAATTGTGCAATTGCGGAAATTGACGTGCATTAACGTGGCATCGCCACGTGGCACACGTGGCTAAATTCTCGATGAAAAGGTGACATCACGTGTGCTCAAAGATGTTCTTGAATCGATGCCACGTTAATGCCACGTCAATTTCTGCAATTGCACAATTTCTGGTTATTTGAAGGCGAGGGTAGAATCTCTAGTTACGGAAATTTCCATCTGCATTGTTTACCGTGCCGTTTTTTTTTGCGAAACCCCTTCCATGGCCATAATTCGTAGTCAGACACGCCCATTAGGACGAGTTATCCGGAGAAAATCAGAACGCTTGTTTTAGGTGCTTCGGAACCAGTCCAGATAAATGCCGCTCCTTCAACTATGATAAGCAGGCTGGTACCTGCAATCTTCTGTACTTGGACAGCATGGCCACCCTCCGACCACAAATCCGTCAAGGCACTGACCTCTACGACTTGCGCTGTCTGGCAGGTAAGATCGCTGTCATTTGAATTAAATTAACACCATTATGGGCACCAGTTAACCAACCTTCGGAACATCTGTCATCCCTTTTTGTAAGAATAACTCCTATAAGAAAAGTATAAACGTAACCGCACGCCGCACCGCAACGCACTCACTCGCACTTGAAGACGTGCGAGAGCGGTGGCCAAGCAAACGGAGAATTTAACAGACATGCCTCTAGTGGAAGGAGACTGCTCGATCAACAAGGACGATGCGCTGTTCTCACGCTACTTGCACACCAAGCAACGTGGTATCGCCAGCAAAACGTACAAGGTCGTGTCGCTCAACTCCTGTCTCGAAGTCTGTGCCGGAAATCCCACGTGAGTCCCTTTGTGACGTTTGTTTCGAAATATTATGTTGTCCCATAAAGTAGGCCGTCTAGGCAGCGCATAAGTACAGGTTTACTGTCGCCGACATGTCATGCGCGCTGTCGCGCCGCGTGATAAGTGCAAGTTGCCCGCGCTCTGACTGAACCTCCCAGCCACAATTATGATTAAAGGCACAACCCAGGCAGAGGTCGTGTGAACGCTTCCTTCGGTCTGTAGTATAGACCCCTAGAGGACAATCACAAATGTGGCGTTCCCGTGCACGGAAACCAACCGACAAGAGCGCTTGGGCCTTGCAAAGTAAGCTGCTGAAGCTGCAGACTTTCTCTTATCAGGCTGTTGTCTGGCGCTCTCATCTGTAGCGCTCTCTCGCCCCATACTCTCCTCTCTTAGTCTCTCATTCCCTTAGGTGAGGTGAGGTGAGCCCCTAACCTAACGTTTTTGAGGGTTCTATTTCCTTTTTCTTTATGGGGCGTCCATAATCCACACCAATGTGATCCTGGCGGCATGCTTTCAAGCTACAATCCGCTATCTAGTTGATTCCTTACCGTCTTATCGACGGCGAATCCTTTTTTTTATGGCAACGACTACTGCGTGCTCCCGCTCTGTACGCATCCGCGCACCTTATTAACAACAGCGAGCGGCAGAGTCAACCCTGCGTTGCGCAGTTCTCAACGGCCACGTTGCGCAGTTTCGCCCGATTAGACACGTTCTCTCGCGCGAACATTCACACTCGCATGCTCGAGCCGTCTGTGTCTCCGCCCATACAGCGTGCGTTGAGGATCTCTCAACGTGCCGTTGCGAACTGCGCAACGCAGGGTTGACTGGACGAGCAGGCTTACCGAATTTTCATTATAGGCTCCGTCCACTTTGACACACGGTTCCCCTAGCGTCTGACCTCTTCTATTGCCAATTCTGTCCAGTTTTCACGGCCTCTGAACTGTTTTGGAATCTAGTCACAAGTTGTTGTAAGCAACGCTTTTCTGGGGCACAATTCGCCAATTGCACGCGGGACTTTTTGTAATCTCAATGCTCTCTTAAAACCCTAACAGGACATACGGAGTTCAGGGCTACACATGACTTGAGCCTGTCCACTTCGCATTACAAAGCTGTGTACGCATATGGGCGCGATTTCATTGGCACTGCGAGCGCAACAGCCGTAATTACCAGTCTGCCGGGCCGGGGGACAATCGTCGCGCAGCACATTCCTTTTCGTTCCTGTTCCTTTGACATCGGGCCAGTAAAAGCTATCCGCTCCCTTTAGGATCTTTGAGACTTCAGCGACAGTTTGTGATCCAAATTATCAATCCATCAATTTACTGAAGTCCTAGCAGTTGAGTGATACGGACGAGTTGTCCGGTCGCAGCAGGATGGGGCATTTGCTGCCTGTGCGCTCCAATGCTAATGGGATCGCGCCATATGCGCCGGACGCATAGTCGGTCGGACGACAGCAACGACCGCAGGTGTCGCATAAACCGCGGTTGCAAATGGAAGGCGACGCGGTAAGTGTCGTAGATCAATACGCAGCTACTATTCCACACTACAGTGGGACTTTCGAAATACGATCACGCGCAGTCACGTGTTGTCTGGGTTAGCATTGGGTGACCGCGTCGCCTTCCATTTGCGACCGCGGTTTATGCGACACCTGCGGTCGTTGCTGTCGTCCGACAGCAGCAGTCGTTGCTGTCGTCCGACCGACTATGCGTCCGGCTATGACCAGAGTCAACCCTGCGTTGCGCAGTTCGCAACGGCACGTTGAGAGATCCTCAACGCACGCTGTATGGGCGGAGACGCAGACGGCTCGAGCATGCGAGTGTGAATGTTCGCGCGAGAGAACGTGTCTAATCGGGCGAAACTGCGCAACGTGGCCGTTGAGAACTGCGCAACGCAGGGTTGACTCTGCTATGAACCGCCTCCCCAGTATCGGCTTCACTCGTACGTGTTGCGTGCCAGAGTGCTCCAAAAAGCTCTCTCCAACCTCAGGAGCATCCTCATGGCCTCAAATCGTGCGCGCACCACTTAACGCTATGCTCACTAGAATAGTAGAATAGTAAAAGCGCAAAACTTTCTCCACTGCTCAGTGCTCGAATTGAATGGAACGACCGCTCTCAACTGAAGTGTTTATAGTTGCGCTGGAGTAAACTACAATCGCCGTGTCGGTCAGTGCGACATCTTTGACGCCATCGACGGCGAGGCAGATGTCAACGAACATGTCGACTTCTACAAGAATCTCTGTGTCATCAAGGTTTGTTGAGCGACGTGAAAGCCTATGCTGAAAATGGAATCAAAGGCAACACGCGTGCAAACTACGAGTATTGATTGAAAACACTTAAACGGCAGTCCGCAAAATTGCGTAAAACTACACGACGTTCCAAGCGTCTTATTTCAGGAAACCGACAGCGGAGTATCAGCTGCCGCTAATGTACCACCGCAGACTCATCGTATGTCCGGCACCGTAACCAACAAGAAGAAGGACTCGCGTGGAGAGCTGCTTGCAACGAAAAAGGTGATTATCGATTACCTGAGGGCAGTGAAAAGTCCCAGTTTTTCGTATCAAATTTATATTCATTATTAGGAAATACTTTTCCAGGTGAAACCATCAATTCGTGAGCACGAACAACATCGGCGCAAGCCCGAAGCCACTCTCCCTATTGGACCACCAGTCTCCATTCCACCTAATGCAATCCACACAATTTGCAACTACGAAGGCATTAAGGTGAATAATTTTCTAGTAGAGATTAGCTACTCAAAACAATAGCATTTGTGGATCGTATGCATGTTAGTGGATTGTATGAAGCCGCAGTGATTCCTTGCGTTTGGTCAACCGTGGTCAACCCCGCGTTTTGTGTAGCTGCAGCGCGAGCAGTCGCGTGGCGGTTGCTTAGATACCTAACACTGGAAAAGAGTTCATCACTACTTGAGATCTGGTTATACTCCATTTCAAAAAACGAGAATAGCGTCGGGTGCAGACCATACACCACAAGTGACGACGGCCTCCACAAAATGTAAATGTTTTCTGCCAATGAAATGATTAGCCTGTTGCAGTTGTATTCTATCAG